TCTCTCTCTCTCTCTCTCTCTCTCTCTCTCTCTCTCTCTCTCTCTGTGTCTGCTGCCGCGTTCACGAGTGTCCGAACGTAAAGGAGTTGGCTCTCGAAGGGAGACTGCATCAGTGAGGGCCGCTCGAACGGCCCTCTCACGTTTTTTAGCCTTTCGAGGCCAAGTTCCATTTTTTTATTTTTTTTTATTTTTTTGCGCCCTCTTTTGTACTTTTTCCACCTGTGGACCGTTCCCCCTGTGCTGCAGCCACTCCCTCGACCCCACTCCGCACCGAACACCTCGCCCCCCGTCACGTGGGGCCCCTGTGTGAACGTGTCAAACACGTTCAGCCCCTTTCATTGAACGTGCGCTCACCGCGTTCAAAGAACACGGCCGGCGCGCGCGCAACTGCCCAAGGCGCTTGAGAGAGAGAGAGAGAGAGAGAGAGAGAGAGAGAGAGAGGGAGAGAGAGAGAGAGAGAGAGAGAGAGAGAGAGAGAGAGAACCAGCGACTTTTGCGCAGAAAACTCGCCGGTTCTCTCTCTCTCTCCCCCCCCGTTCGCGGCGGGGCAGTCCACAGAGGCAGCAAAACGCGAATGAATCATTCCGCCTTGTAGCGGAAGACACACGCCCATTGTGCACGGAGTCAATGGTTGCGCGCTCGCAAAGAGCACACGAACACACACACACACACACACACACACACACACACACACAGAGAGAGAGAGAGAGAGAGAGAGAGAGAGAGAGAGAGAGAGAGAGAGAGAGAGAGAGAGAGCATTCCCCCCAAATTCCGTATCGTTTTTCTTTCTTGCTATCTCGTTTTTGTTTTTATTTTTAATTTCTAAAGAGAAAAAGCTCCGACTGGTACTTCACTCCCTGACCCCCGAAGTCCCAGCGCGTTAATGCCCCCGTCGGAGATTTTTAGCTTGGCGAGGTACTGGTGGCTTAACAGAAGGCAGGTTCAGCTGCTACACCCAAGAACTGTTGATATATAGACCTGAGTTTGAATCCCCATGGAACAACATGCCTAGAATGAAATAATTCTGAATACCTGCAGCTAGTCAGTTCAATGATGATATCTCAGGGCCGTTGTTTTTTTCTTTAAAACTAGCTAGAAAGCCTAGAATGAAATAATTCTGAATACCTGGGGCTAGTCAGTTCAATGATGATATCTCAGGGCCATTGCTTTTTTATTAAAAACTGGCTAAGCGCCCGTGGTGCAGGCGGTGCATTATGTTGTTTTCATATGTATCTGTATGTGCATTGTTTGTTGATGCTTTGCTGACACTGCATTGTCCATTCAAGTCCATATCATCACTTTGCAGATCCTTGGCTCGATATACATCGCTCAACTGAGCATATATCACTTGCTGAAAAAGAAACTCGTCACCTACGAAAATTTCGGAGGCTCGGCCTACCCGACCACAATGGCTGGCGGCACCCGCCAAACAAGAGGAGTGCCCCACTGGCGGTTCATAAAGGCTTGGCGAATAGAAAGGCGCCTGTAGTGGTGGTTTAAGGGCCTTAACGCTATTATAATCAGATACTAGAAAAGACCGCAGCCACAGTTTCTCAAACTACAGCTGATGCTCATTAAGTAGGTAATACACTGTTTACAAGGGTCAGGGTTTAGGACCTTTAGGGTTTACCACTTTGATCATCATCACTACGCCCTTTGCCCGATTAAAGCCACATAGACAACCACAGCAACTGTTTGTCAAACCACAACGTCATCTCATTCACATCCCTGGCAGCATCCCAATAATACTTGCATAGTTTTTGAGCGCCCGTTCGAAGATCCAGACAGCAGCGGACCCCGAATGGCCAGTTATCTTGAAAGATGAAAAGGTCCAAATTCTTTGAACAGGATATTAAGGGAAAAGAAGCCAACCCACCTGCCAAAGCACCTCTTGAAACTGGAATTCTGAAAGGTCTGGGAGCCTCCGGCTCTGCGTATCTTAAATAAACAAGCGCTGCGAATTTCAAAACCGTCGACATTCCGTACAACACCATGTCCACCTGCCGCATCGGTGAACACAATAACGACCACCACAAGTGAGAAAATTAATAATTAAAAAAATGATTTAAAAATCAGAAGACTCTGAAAATCTTGTATCATTCAATAAATTGAAAAAAGCTTCAACAAATACTGCCTACCTCTTAATAAGTTAATAGATCACACGGTGATCATATCCGTATCTAACCTGAAAGTTGGCCTGAGTGCGAAAATGATTCTCCTTCCCCCCTCTTTCCTTCTACCTGGAAGGAGCTTACTGAGAAGAGAAGAACTTTTCGCTCGACTCATCGTCAGAAAAAGGACAGACATAGGGCCTCGCTGCACTGCACAGTGTCTAAATGTATACGGAGCTGGTAATGGTCCCAATGCATTCAAAATGTTCAACTATTCCGATTGCAGGTGGTCCGCGTTACAGTCCAGATACATGTTCAATGTTCAGTACTTGAGCGATACCCATAGTCCAATCAACACACAAATCTCCAACAAACAAAACAAACGAACAAGGTCTAGGATGCCTGGAAAAGAAAAGGTGCAGGAGGCTCGACTTATCATGGCGCATACACATTTGCATGCATAGCTGTCATTGTCATCATGGACAACGTGTTTCTGCCTCACTGCTCACGTACCTGATGCACTGTCTGAAATGATTTCTACTATTCCGAACTCAAGTGGTCCATGTCACAGTCCACATACATGTCCGAAATGGTTTCTTCCACGGAAGAAAGAATTTTGTCCATTTATTTCTTCCAGGGTCACTCTGTCCCCCGATGTACCACTTGCCCCTCAAAGTAAAACCGAGTCAATTGTAGAGATCCCAATCATTGGATTACCCAAGTGTGATTTGGGTAATCAAAATCCCAGCTCGATTTCATTGGGGTAATCAAAATCCCAGCATTAGCTGTGAAGTTTCCGCCCTCTCTCCATTACTTCGATTCTCCGATCTTTCTCCCCTATCCCCTGCTCTCTCTAATGATTCAGTTCTATTATCCTTTTTTTTTGTGTGTGTGTTAGGAAAAAGCAAACATCTTGTGATGTCCTACTGTCCTGGGATGATAAGAGCACCACCAGGATCGAGGAGTTCTTGCGGATGGCTCCGGCCCATTGGTGGGAAGCAGCAGCTGCTGGAAACCGGGTCCAGCGTCCCTGATATGACTTGTTTTGTGGAAGTACTAGGAGCATCACCCAGCTTCACTTTTGTTTCCTCCGTCCCTCGACCTCTCGGCTACTTAGGCCTGCAGAAACTAGCCTTGCTGCAGAGGAAGTAACACTGATGTTCATATCTGCTAAAAAGCGCTATAGCTGAGGTAGGTCTCCCCTTGATCTATTCTTGAGACCCCCAGACCAAAAACCCTCCCTCTAAAGGAGCAGAGCCTCCTGCTACTAAAACCCTAAACCCTAAAACCCTCGACCACCTGACCTCGGGTATGGGGCTGGGCTTAAACCACCACTACCTTTCCCACTGTTGGGAAAATGGGAAAATAATAATTCAAAATATCCTACTCCTAAAAAATTGGAGGGCGGGCCCGACAACAGCCACCGTTGGTAAATCTCATCGGTGACCATCATTTCGTTTTGGTCTCCTAAAGATTCGGGGGCCCGATGGTGGGCCACATGGGAAAAGGTAGTGGTGGTTTAACTAAAGTTCAGTCGCCTTTGAAAAAGTAGTCTGGACTCTTGAATGGTAGCCACTTTGCCCTGGCCCAGAATTCTTTGTTCGAAGCGTTTCCTAACTTTCCTTATTTCCTGAGCCTGTGCTGGGTTCTGCTGAGCCTGCCGTCGGACCTTGCGCCATTGTGCTTGGGTGTCGCTTTCCAGAAGAGTGTGTTGTAGGTGGCCCTTGCCTCCTGTCGATGCATTGGATTATTGTCAATGGTCTGTTGACAGCATTGGATGTATGTGGACTTAGCTTAAGACCAGATACATCCAGACCCTCGGGAGCAGCAAATTTGGACCTGTTTTCGGCCAAAAAACTCGGTTTCAATTTCGTTCAAACTTCAAACTTCAAAAAATAAAAATTGTCCGTTTTGACGAAATGGAAGGTGTACGGGCAAGGAGCTGGAAGAGGCATTTCTGGAATGGTTGCCATGTCTCGGGGAGGTCCTAGCCTAACAAATGTGTAACCTTGGTGTCCGGAAATCGAGTGTTTGCGGTCTGACCCCACAAGTACTTAGCTACACCCCACAAGTGTACTGCCCCCACGCAGGACAACAGACAATGCAACACAGTCTTCTGTAGCTCCCTCTGTGCAGACCTTGCATGACGCGTTTGAGGGGTCCAGATGTATCTTGCTCCTCCTCTCGTTTAACCAGGCATTAACCGGCAGTGTCAGATGACAAATCACCCACTGCATACTCCGAACCTTACCACGTCTGACCGTGCTAAGTAGGGACCATGGCAGTTGCTGCAGTTGCGCCGGAGACACCCCCATCATCACCACTAGGTTGGGGTATCGACTTTGCAGCAGTTCTATTCTATTATCTTTTTTTTTTTTTTTTCAAAAATACAGAACCTTAGGGTTCTGGCTCCTTTTCCATTCTGGGGAACGTCAGTCCGGTTCCTATTCCACCGGCAAGTCAGAAAGATTTACAAGTACTCACCCACGCTCCTCCCCCTTTTGGGCACCTTGGTCCTGTTCCCTTATGTCCTCCTTGTCTGCACTTGAAGCACTAGGGGTTGGCTTTGGTAGACAATTACCTTTACCTTTCTATACCTTACCACAAAGTGCCAGAGATCCGCTACCGTCTTCACCCGAATACAACGTACAGTCGTTATAGCTGTACTCGGGGCAACTTTCAGTCTAGATATAGCAATAATGACCGTTGCAAGGAATATGAGTGTGAACGATATACAGAAAGCCAAGTTGCGAAATCATACAGATGTCAAGTAGTCGTATGCAAGCAGAGAGCACAATTGCACCGAGAATCTATCCAATGAGAATCTATCCAATAGAGCAATACAATGGTGTGATGAGCCAATGTTCAAGCCCTCAGGCCACACCAGCGCGGTATCCAAAGTCGCTCCTCTCTGTCTGGTGCCCAGCGCCCAGCCTACTCTACTTGACTATCGTCCGTACAGCTGTGTTCACGCAACAGGCTCACTTTGACTCTCGAAGACCAATGTAAATGATGCCAACACCATAGCCGACCTCTTCATGCACCAGGTACGTATCTCGTCACCCTCATCAGACCTTGATACCCCACACACACGCCTACTTCCCAGAAGACCACCAGGTCGCCCGCATTACCCCCTAGCTCCCAGCAGCCCGGCTATAGCTGCCAGCGCCCCGCTGCCCCCTGCGAGCGCCCTTGGCTGCAGCGCAGCATCAATGCAGCAGTGCAGCAGCGTGTCCGCATTGCCTACGAGGGCCAGAATGCCCCGCCTGGGCTGCCTCACTTCCTATATGGAAGTGGCAGCCTCCTGGATGCTGCGTGTGGCCTGGCTGGAAGCTTCCAGTAGCTTCCGGTTGGGCATCAGTCCCTGCGCCCAGGCCCGAGACTACAGTTGAGCGCCTCGGCCCTTTACAGCTGGGCACGGCCTGAGTCTCCGGACTTGGGCCGTTTGCTGCATTTGTGCAGGGCCCCGGGGTAGGTGCGTCGACAGTACTGCTTTTGCATACGCCAGTGGCCGCTTCACGATGTATCGGCCCTGCTTTGTGTGCATGTGCCCAGGCGCAACTGGCAAGACCTTGGCCAACAGTACGGTGCAGCTTAGTGAGGCTCACGCGTCCGTTCAACCAACTGGCGTGCTGCAAGAGCCTGAATACCCACATATGAAAGTGTCAAATTTTTGGCCTCTGATGAATATTCGCGCCCGCCTTTGCTTAGGGCGGGCACTCGGGTTGCCGGGGGCCTTTGCCCAGAACATGTGATGTCTGATAGGGCCCCGTGAGGGCTCATTCCTCGCACCGTCCGTTGTATTCGGGTGAAGACAGTAGTTGTGGTGACACCACTCCTTGGGTGTTAATACACACCATCATTGTGTCATGCTGTGGGATAAGAAAATCAGGAGTGGGTGTATTCCAGTCCATTACCGGAAACTGACCATACTAGTCTTGAAGCCTCCCCACCTGGGGATCGTGGGTCCCTCCAGAAGAAACGGGCCTGGCAGGCCTTTAATCAAGGCTTCAGAATTGGCACCTGACCGTAGAGGTCCAAAGCTGATCCTTATACTACGATAAATGACAAGTGATAATGAATGAAGCAATACTGAATCGATCAGGCAATAATAATATGCAGAAGAAGAACCAAATAGAACTCAAACAAAATAACAGAAATGATGGACACTTGGAAGAGTCCATAGCTGATTGGTTTCAAAAGCTCGAATTTAAAAGCAAAATTCAAATACTGAAACGGTTTTCACCCTTTTGCAGTCACAGATGCGGGCCTTAGAGTTCGATCCCCAGACCTTACCTCGCCCGTGTACAGTATCAAGTTGACCCCCCGAGTGTTTGAACCCGTGACCTGTGTTTTGATAGTTGGTTGTTGTCTGTTGTAGGTCTGTGTAGTTGTAGGGGTTCGATCTGTAGGTCTGTCGAGTAGGGGTCACAGCTCTGTAGAGGCCGTAGCTGTAGGTGTTCTGAGAGGTCAAGGTCGTAGCTGCTACAGTCCTGAAAGGTCAAGGTCGCAGCTGCTACAGTACTCGAAAGGCCAAGTCCACAGAATTCCGGAAGGTCCGGAAGTGGCCTTTCCAAATTGTCCCACGTTTAGCCAGAGGCAAGTGGGCAAGTGGTAAGCCCAACTGCACTGAGTTGGCAGTGCGACTGCGTCGAGTCGGCAGTACAACCTCGTGCAGTCCGCGGTACCAGTCCCAGTCAGTCCCAGTCCAGTCAAGCAAGTACCGTGTGGGACTGAGTGCACCAAGTGCCTGGTGGAAAGGGGCAGACCAGCGGCAGACAGAAGTATAAATCAAGCGCAGCGCCCAGCAATTCATTCATTCGCTGCGTAAGCCATGCGGAAGCGCTGCTACAGCGTCTTGTGCTAAGGTGGTCTGCAGGATGCCCGAA